TCATCAGGTCTCCCACAGAGGATGTTTGATAAGCACATGGATGATACACCTACATTGTTATTGTCATAGAGTAATGTGAGCCAGTAAAACAAAAATTGGACTTCCCTGTCTGACATTTTTTCATTGAAAGTTTGAGAACATTTTTGTTTGTAGTAGAGCTTTTATTTATTTCTTCCTTTTTTTCGTTCTCTTTTGGATATAGTGCTAGAATATTATTTTAATTATAATGAAATTTGCTTCAAATTAGCTTCACTTAAAAAAAAAAGGGAAATTCTATGATAGATCATCACACAACTCCAGTTTGCAATGTGCTGTTCATCAGAATACTCTGTGAACAGGTGTATAGCTTTTGAGGGTTATAAGTTCTCACAATTTTGCGACACTGACCTGAAAGAAAAGATTTACAATGCTAGATACCCACCAAGAATTAATTCCCAAATTACCGAGACACTTGTTTTCGGGTACATTGCACCGCATTAGACGGAAGCTTAAATCAATTGGAGGCATGGTTTGAATTAGTTCGAGTTGACCGGTGGGACTAGGGATAGGTTCCATGCACCTGTTAGGAGCAGAAGTTTAAGTGATATTAATTGATTGGTAAGTTGATGTTGATTGCATGGGTCAATCTCACGGCCATCAGGAGTGAACATCTAAACCTATATCTCTCTATCTCACGGATATGTCGTTAACCCTTTCTGTGCTGTAGCCAATAGAACCATCCCAAAATGTAGTGCTTATTTTATTGCAGACATAGAAATCCTTGTTTTTCTTCTTGAAATTGAAGACAGATTTAGGAATGTAGAATGAGATATCATGGTACATTGATCAAATTTAATAATAAAAAAGGAACTATGATTGGAATTTATCTCCCAAAATTTAGTTATTAGTGGAAGGTACTTTTGAAATTTGGTGACAGGTAAAGGATCAATAAATTGTAAAATAATGAACGGTAGTTTATAAAAAAAAGGGTTTTTTAATTTTTATGAGTGCTGATGCAAATAACGCTGTCATTTACATTTCTTGCTGTACAGACAACAATCATTACCAAATAGAAATATGCATTGGAAGTGTATCTACACAATATCTCTTTATGATCATAAGCCTAAGCCTAAGCCTAAATTAAGTAGCAAGCTGTATTTAATACTCCACCCCCCCCCCTCCCTCCCTAAACCCTCTTACCCACTACTGCTACTTTCTACAAGATAGCTTTATGAACTTGAAATTATTCTAGAGGATTATCAGGAGAGTACATTATATAGGGCAATGGAAAGTAAAACATTTAGCCTGGCACTCTATTCCTAGAAACAACTTATAAATATGCTCTTAGGCAGTATGAGCAAGCTCTATGTTGATGTTTCTTTAGACATTCAAATAGCCCCTCCCTTTACTTTCTTTGGCATGACTATTTTAGGACTACAACTCTAACATGAGATATTCTTCAATGCTGAATAGGCGGTTTGTGTATGTCTTTGCCAAATATTTTTACAAGCTGAAAAGGGGACTAACTCAGGAATGTTTAGAGACTTGAGGGGGAGGGGGTCAGGTTTATTTTTTCTCCTGCCAGGCATAAAACTTTCAATATTAGAGAGAGTAACCCTACATTAGGCGTACAACGGATATTGGTTGAACTTAACCTTATAAGAAGCAGAAGTGTTGTTCCTGTTGAATTAATGTTATATGTTTACATGAGAGACTATTATTAAACTTAATAGGGCAGAAATTTGCTAGCCTGTAATTCGGTCAAAGAAGCTGTGAGAACCTTTCAAGATTATACTGGCATTTCTTGTGACATGTTGACCTGTGCCACTACTGCTTTCTGTTTATTTACTTCTTGTCTAGACTAAAATCTCATAAATGGAAGCAAACAGGAGAGATGCAAGGAGTATACTTACACACATATATACACTGTTTATTTTAAAATTGGTCTATTACTTAACAGAAACAACTGTCATCCAATGGCAGCCTTTCTTTATTTAATTATATTCACATATTTATCCAAGCTGACAATCACCAAAAGAACCAAAACAACCAATCAAAGTCAAACCATCTGATGTGCTCTTTTTAGGATCTCCGTGATTGTTGATAGTCACCAAACAACAAATCACAATCAAGCTTTCTGATCAGGGTTTATCAAGCTCGTTATGATTGGTTGTTGACTTTGATGACAATCACACGACAATGTCAAAAACAGCCAAACATATTTAAGCCTTCTTTGAGATCTATGAGAGGGTCTTCCTGATTCATATCAAATTTTTCCAATCTCACAGTGGATTTTGGGATAGATATTAGACAATTAGCTCTTTAGAATCTTTGGAAACCATTCATCTGGATAAGAATAAAAATGAAATAGGTCACAATTGTTCATCAGCCTTTACTTCTGTTTTCTCTCATATTTCATAACAGCAAAGCATGTTCTATCTGAATAGGTTTTATTGTGAAAATTCCATTACAACTTTTATTCTTTATGGTCAGTCAGGATAGATTACACAGGCACTGAAAATTAATTTGACCATGAATGACAAAAAGGACGCTTTTCCAGTTATTCCCATAAGGAAGAAGGAACTGTTTTAGAGGGAGGACACTCGGTAGTTGAACAATCATCCTTAATACATCACATCCACCTCTGTTCAACTTCCCCTTGTCAGACTCCATTCACATATGACCTCGCCTTTGACATCCCTCCTGACATCATTGTGTGCCGGCTACCAAACAACAATCTTTGATAGTCCCCTTGTTTCTTCTGTTTATGAGGTCTTGACAGGGATAGCCCATGGCGAAGTGATCTTTCTTGAATGCTTGAGTTTTCCCCATCGGTGTTCCACATAGTTTGCGTGTTTGTGTAACGTCTGGGCAATTCTGTCTGTTCTGTTCAGGTGTGACAAAGTCAATGATATTTATCAATATTTTACAATTTAATACCCCTAATCACTTTGAGTCACAAAGAACTAAAGCAAATGGATTAAGTGCTATTTCAGATCATAGTGCATGATACCGGTATATATATGTTAGTATATTTATGCAGTTTTATTTATTGCTGATTGCTGAATTTTGAATACTAGTATAGTGGTTGCCACTATGAAGTTGTTCTGATGACAAGTTTTAGTTCAAAGGCTAAGTGTTGGTACATGTACTGTACATTGATTGGCCATCTGTGATTGTCGTTAGATGTTTGATGGTAGATGATTTCATAATAATGATTAATAATGTCAAGAACTTGATTGGACTAAAACTGCAAGAGTGCACCAGAATGGCAGAAGATATCGTCTCTAAGTGCTTTACAGATATTAGTACCCCAGTCATCGGATTCATTCATGCACAATGTGCACCATCTCCACATCGTCCATATGTAGTAGAAGATCTCATACCAGTTTTACATGGACATCATAGTTTTTTTTGCCCAACCTTATGGAATGACCCAGCTTTTAAACCGATATGAAAACATTCTTTTCATTCATGACCTGTACTGCATGAATGGAAGCAATGCTTCAGAATGTAGAACCATGAACCTAATAGAACCAAACTGACACTGCACATTTAAATCTTACCACACAGAAGAGACTAATAACATATCAAGTTTGTAGAGTGTCATTATTTTAAAAGAAATCAAAGTCTGGTCTATCTCATGGACAAAGGGAGAGAGAGAGAAGAAAAAAAAGACAGGGAGAGGGGAAAGGGGAGTAGCTAAAGTTTTTAGTGAGAAATGAGGGATAAAAAACGGGAGAGATGGAAAAGAGAGCTGGATGGGATATAGGGATAGAGAGATTTAAAGAGAGTGACAAATTTTAGATAGAGCTAGTCTAAGAGAGAGAGAGAGAGAGAGAGAGAGAGGCATGATATTCTGCTATCTTCAGTAGACAGAGAAAGAGAGAGACAGAGAAGCAAGCAGAGAGGAAACATAGAGACAGATGGATGGGAAAAGGATAGATAGTTGGCTAGAACAGATAGAAGATAGACAGAGAAAAGGTGGGAAGAGCTAGGCAAGGGCAAAGGTTGTGCTATAAAGTGTGATGCCCTTGCTTCCTCCATGCGAGTTACTCCATGCGGGTTACTCCATGAATGCTATCTTGGGTTAGGTTCCTGTAAGTTGTTTCCGGCATGTAAATCCCACTACACCTGTTCCTATATCTCATTAGGGAATGATGTGAAGATGTGTGTGTGTACATCGTGGAGTATCCAACTAATTGATAGGAAATAGCCTGTTCCATAAACTAGGAAACCAATCACATACTTAGGTTTCCATCCATCCATGTACATGTCTTCATTTGCCATGAGGATATCTTCAAATTGCACTTAAATTTCCTTCCGCTGACATGAAGTGGAGGAAAAAACAGGGAATTTGTTCAATGCACAGTGAACTGAAATAAAATTGCTTATCAAATATACATGTATATTTGGATACACTTATTAGGATTTCAAAATAAAAGTAGAGTCCTTGCATTATTGCTAAATCAAAAAGATATATTGTTAGAATAAGTGTTGCCTTGCCCCCCCCCCCACACACACACATACACATACCCCACCCTTACCTAAATTGATCTAGTGGCGTGCATGTACATTGTAAGTATTTCTGAGGTAACAAATGTAAAGTATTATTATTATTAAAGTGGAATCAGTAAAGCTCTTTTCCTTTGAGTGAGTCCCAATTTTCCATTATCCAATTTATCACGTAATGTATAAAAACAAACTATTAATGTCAGATTGTTAAAAATGGACATTTGTAATTGAATGAAGAAGCAGAGAAATATGATATATTGATACAAAGCCATCTATACACCGAGTTTATCCAACTTGGTTTCACTGGGTCACAACATGGCATATATTCTTTTGTTTTATGCTTGCCCAACAAAGCAGTAGTCGCCATATTGTGTCCAACTCGAACCGAGTTGGCCAAACTCTGTGTATAGTTGGCTCTGCATAGGTATACTATATGCTGTCATCAGATTACTAATGTATCATGATCATTAAGTAGCCATTTTTGGTTTTATCATCTTGCAGAGCGCGAGGAAAAGCAGGAGTGGTGGGAATCCGTCAGTGATTTCTCTCTGGCCCATGATGTGGAGAAGAAGCTGCAGGATCCTGAATACCTGGCTCACTACCGCAGGAAACGAGTGAGCAGTCTAAGCACCGAGAGGAACGTAGAAACACTGGTGGTCGCTGATAAGATGATGATGGGTTACCATGGAGAGACCAGTATTGAATCTTACCTCCTCACTCTCATGAACATTGTAAGTAACCTTACCTGGGTATTGTTTCACAAAACTGTCCCAAGTACAAGTTTGCTGACATCGCATAGAAAGATGTACCGGGGTATGTTAGTTTCTTTACAAAGTCTAATGGTATGTCAGCGAACTTAAACTTATGTTATTTCCTTGAAATGATGCCCTGACAACCACAAGATTGCATGAAAAAAATCTGATTACGAAACTCTTGTTTTAATGTCATTTTTTAAAATATGTTTGGAAACTATGATTCCCTTGATACCGATCCTCAGTTCTGGTTATAGCGGACAGCTCTGGTATAACCTTCTCTTATCTCTAGAGCTACAGACTGTATTACGACCCCTAACTGAAATAAGGATGAAACAAAAAGTGAAAGGTATCCCGTAGACAAAGGAGAGGGTTAAACTTATCAGGAGGTTGAATTCAGCCTCCTTCCCTCCTGTTTGTGGCAGTGATTGCTGAGTTTGAGGTGCGATTGATAAGAAAGGAAGACATAACTGCCATGTTGGATTGAGAGTCGAGAGCTTGAGCAGGATAGGGTGTATGACATGTGATTGGGTTGAGGTCATGCTCTAGTCCCACTTATTACTTTTGACACTTACTTCTATTAAAGGTATTGATGATTTCAGAAAAGATGAGGATGTATCTTATGTGATGCAGTCTGATTTGTAAGGACTTTGTAATTGAGATTGAAATTACATTATGTAACCCCAAATCTTTCCTCAGTTCTGAGTTCATTGTTATTTTTTTTTTTACAAATAGTGCACATTTTGTTGTATCTTAATTGGACAACTGAATGCTCTTTGTTGAAAATTATAAAGCAGTTTATGGAAGTGTTAATTGGATGACTGCCAAGCACTGGGAACCAGTTTGAGCTTATAATACCAACGTGCCAGTGTTAAATGTACAGGAGATGATAGCACACTTTAACTTTAAACAAATCAACCACAAACATATGTTGATTGTGTCAGAGATATTGAAGACTGGGATCTCTAAGAAATGAGTTTTCTGAGTAATCATTACGATAAATGAATTATACAATGCAGTAAAATTTACAATATGAATGAAATTTCATGAAACATGTACATGTAGGTCCCCATGCAAGAATAAAACTACTGTCATTTGGTGGTTCATGAGGAATAGACAAGCGGAGAATAAATAATGAAACAACCACAGGTAATGACAAATTTATTTAAAAAACAGCATTCTCAAAAACGAAAAAATGGGTCTCCATTCATGTACTCAGGGACAGGGAACATTCATACAGTATGTGTCTAATTTTAGTACAGTACCCTGAGTATAGTTTCTAGTTTATAAAAGCAGCGAACTCTAGTTTCATAAGTTATTTGTGGGCTTAGGAAGGAGGAAGAGGAAGGGGAAGGGGAGTGGGAGGGGAAAGTTGAGGGACAAACTTAGGGAGACCAAGTTACCAGCGGTATCAGCTCGCTCTATGAACTTGGATTTTGTAGTACTATTAAAGGATGCCATTACTTGATGTAAATGAATATCTCATTAGATGATCCTCATTAAGTGTAGGGAATGTGTGATATGTGAATCAGCTCTGCGTTTGTACACCTTTGTATTTATAAGTCACCTTCCAGCGCGTGAATGAAGCAAAGCAAAGATCAGTTAATTTTCATCTCTAACTGTTTATTAAAAGATATATCAAGAATTGCTCTGATGATGATTGGGCAAGAAGTTTGTGTATCCTCTAAACCCATTGACTACTGAATGCTCTTATTCCCATAGGCTTTAATACAGGAACCACCCGGTACCCATAGTCAGTGGGTTACATTTCAATCATCAGTAGAGCTCATTGCCCCAGATGAAACCAAATTTGAGAGTCTTGAATCATACTGATCTAGATATATTTAAGTTCATATTTACTTGGAACATACAGAAAATTTTAATTTTTTGTTTTGTTACTTTGGCAATTTGAAATCTTGGTGTTGCAGAGTAACCAAGAGATTGCAAATACACTGTATGAGATGGGCATATACATGTATAATGTATATGAAAGCTGGTTTGAGTTAGGAGGGGGTTTTAATAGTGTAAGTGAACCTTACCTTAACCATTCTCCATGCCTACTGTAATTATCCTAGATGTATGTCAGTGTCAACACTTCATTTCATCTGCGTTACAATTTTACTTGGTGTGGGTCAGTCACAGGCTTCTGCTCTGACTGATGGCTACTGCAGTACGAGTGGTAGATGGGTGAAGGGAGACTTAGAGAGAGCAAGGGAGAGGGGTATGGAAGGTAGAGGAAGATATAAGCAGGAGAGGGATGGGTAGAAGCATGGACCTACTACCCATGGTAGAAGGGAGGGAAAGAAAAAGAGAGAGAGAGAGAGAGAGAGAGAAAGTGGGTGGAAGGGGCAGGAGCATAGTGGAATGGATTTGAAGAGGGGTGGCTTTGTAGGTGTAACAAAACATTAAATTGTTTAATTGAATTGTTTTAACATTCATGTCATAGAAACCTCTACAATGTACCAGAGTGCTAGAATATAACTAGAATATTAATAAGTCCAATACCTTCTCAACATAAGGTGCCATAGTCATGTATCCCTAGTTTTTTGGGGCGGCATCCAAACGTTTGAAGCAGAGAGAGTTGTGTGACATCTGGAGCGATTCCAGGATAAACTTTGTTGAGATTAGGAGTCTGTCTGGAGATCTTATATCAACCAGAGATCATTAGCTTGTCTGCCTGGCAAGCTGTCATAAATCTAGGTTGACTTTTCTCAGATCAATGTTGAGCATTTTTTTCAAGTTGTGTGGAAAACCATTTTGATTCTTTTTGATAAACACTGTATCCTATTCCTCCAAACATTGATGTGCATAGCAATGATGAATGAAGTGACGCAATTATGTTAGAAGGAATCGTTCAAGAAAACAACAAACAAATTATCTGTAATATCCTGTAGTTTCTATATTTAGGATTAGAATTGAAGGTATTGTTGAGATTATTTTATGTGTTATTTTATGTGACACGTTTTATGTGTCATTATTATGAGCGGGATTTACTCAAAATATTCAACTTGCACATACTGCTCTCTCTCTCTCTTAACTGATTGTCCAATTATGAATATTATGAATCGAAATTTGAATTCTCTGAAGAGTTGCCTTTTTCTGGCAATAATAAAGCATTTTTACATGTACTTATTATCATATGTTATATTTCTTTTTGTAAATTGATCTCTGTAAACTTTTACAAGTGAAACTCAAATTTCCCAATGGAAAATAAATACTTAATTTCAATTTCTATTTAAATATATTGTTACATGATTGAAATAATGATATGCATGTATTGTTCTATGCTTTTGTTGAGGTCAGGTGGCCAATCTCTACCATGATGGGAGTATAGAGAATGCTATCAACGTTGTCGTCACCAGGATGCTGCTCCTTACACAAGACCAGGTAAGAAATGTTGCCAATTTGAGTAAGAGACGGGGCTAGCAAATACAAAGTTTATCCTATTGCCAGTAGAGAGTAAGAATGTTGCCAAATGTTGCCAGAGTAGATTTATTCAATTACTAAGGAAATTAGCTGATTATGCACAAGCCAATATAACTCTTTTTTACATTAACATTTAGTTGTGTTGATATATGCTTTAATTCAGGGTGATTTTAGGTTGTTTTTTCTTCACCCCAGGTACACTGTATATCACATTTCAAAATGTGAAGTATGCTTAGATTGATAATGCATTGGATATTAGGCAAGGCATGCTCTTGATTCAAAGAGTGAGGAATACAAGTGCAGCCTTTAATGGGATTGGGTAAATTTCTCTCAGATTCTGAAACAAAATCTAGCTCATGCTGCAATGACAATTATAAACCTTTAGGTCAGTCAGGAACCCTGTGACTTTTACAAGCCGATCGCCTGTCTGATTATCAAGATATTTATGATTGGAATTCAAAATTTTAAAATTTGTTTTCCTTACAGTTTTTATAACAGTACAGTCTACTTTTTGGAGGCACTTCATGATCATTTAGAAGCGCAATTTGTGTAGGGCTTTAATATTATATCATATCACAGACACTGATAACACGTAGGGCCATGTATGTCAGATTTAACATTGTTAAACAATGCCTTTAAATACCGGGTTACAAGGATTTTATCTTTAAATACCATTATCCTTCACTGCCCTTGACAGTGGCATATTTGTTATGATGACCTACCTTTGATTCCTCCTACCATTACAGAGAAACCTGAGCTTGAGTCATCTGGCTGGTAAATCATTGCAGAGCTTCTGTGAATGGCAACATGCCATGAATCCAGCTCCGAACCACAACATGAACATCTCCAACGATATGCTAGTCTTTCCCAACCATGATAATGCAGTGCTTATTACAAGGTATGTTCTTTCACCGATTGTATGACACATCCTCTAGCAGCAGTTGAAGTTGCTGCATGTTCACTTTCATGTTATTCATTTTATTTCGATACCACCCAAGGTTTTAACTTTAACCCGAGACAAAACATGATGCTTAACCCAAACACTAAGCCTAATTGAACTACAAGCAGGCCAAAGCCTAAGGTTCTCTCTTTAATTGATGAGAGAACAGTTGGAGCAAATGTGAATGTATGTACCCCTCTACTGTTTCCCATAGATAATCAAGTGGAAACACTGTTCATTGAATAGGATGTAGGATGGGGTTCCTCCTCCTCAGGAGACCCATTGCATGTGAAGAACCCATTTATCTCTTAGAGCCAGAGGGGTGTTAACCCTGTGCTGTAGGATAGCAGCTAATGCCCTTCTGGCTCTCAGCATATGACAACCCTAGGTATGGAACCATCCACCTGTTTCATTGTGAAAGAACATGTCTGTTGGCAATTAAAAACCTGGCTGAGTGACAGCATGATATATACATTCTTGGCAACAAAAATCGTGAATACATACTAATACACCCAAATGATGCAACATTTATTTTAGTTACAGGGACTACAGCTTAATCTAATGAAAAGAATGTGAAACGCTCACAATTCATTCAAATGCAAGTGTATGTTGGTTGTTTTGATGTGGACTATGGTTATGAAACATTATTCACACATATTTTGGCATGTACTCCATTTGGATGCAATGTATTGATTTTGAAGATCATAGTTACAGATACAACAGAAAAGAATTTGTAATGTTGAATGAAATGTGTTTGGAATAAGTGGGTAGGGAACATGATAACCTATTTAAACAATGTTTAGAGGTAACTAAGTTTAGAGATGGGAGATGATGACAAGTTGAACTAGAGAGGCTTGGGAGCAGCAGAGCTGCCTGTATGCATGATGTCGTGCCTGAGGGTAGATGGAGGATTGATATTGAATATGACAGGATTGACAGCGAGAGGAGTAAGATTATTAAGTAGATGCTTCCTGTTTGCAAAGTTTGTTGGACTTTAAAGGTATTGTCTAGATTTAGGTACAAACAGACAGCCTTTGGGGATATCTCAATATTTCATTTGATCAGAGTGCATTCATGGAGGGATCTAGAATCAACCAGAAGATCAGTGAACATTGAAAGCATGACTGGCGTGAGAAAGAGGGAGCAATAGTATTAGATATAAACCCAATCAACTCTGGTGACTACGGGTCTCAGTGAGTGAAAATATGAATTGCTAGTGACTTTCCTCATAAGTGCACTGTTTACCAAACAAAAGAATCATAAGGATATTACATTTCTTCAGACGGAACTAATACTGGTAGTCCAAAGGGTGTTTGTGCTTAGATATTGTATCTCACATGAATATGAGTATAAATTTTCAGCGAAAATAGTGAAAATCACAAAATTGCAGCATCAAAAATCCTATGTCTCAGTGTATTTCCTGGGATAGATCTTCTATAGATGTAGATGTGTTGCCCAACTTGTCCCCCCCTCCCTTGTGATATCTTTAATCAGCATCATATAAATATTTCAGTAATCCTTAAGTAGTGTGGAGTCCCTTAAGGATCTTATATCCTAGTGATTGTATAGTTACATTTTCTCAACATTCAAGACTATTGCCTCTTAGGTACTCTGTCTTTTATAGCAGAGAAAATATTTAAATGAAGAGACAGGGAGAATGAGTTCATTTGTGCATAAGCGAGAGAGAGTGTGAGAGAGAGAGACAGAGACAGAGAGAGACAGAGAGAGACAGAGAGAGAGAGAGAGACAGAAAGAAAGAGAGAGAAAATACAGAAAATATATAATAGAGAAAGGGGATAGAAGAACTTTGCTAAAGGGGATGGGGTGGTGTGGGTGTGGGAGGGGGAAACAGTCACTCATTGAATGTCATTCACCTGCTATTCCAATGCTGTGAAGCATCAAGCATGAAGAGATAGGAATGGGTATATAAACCAAATCACATGCGCTACATATTGTATAACATAATTCCCAACCACTCAGTAGTTTACCTTCAAATGACCCTTGGGGAATGTGTAAGGTTATCTATTAGTGGAGTGTGGGAGGTACATTGTAGTGGTGTGTGGAGGGAGATGGCTGAATGATAGGGGAGCTAATGTGTACCCCTTTACCGACTGGGATCCACATCAGCATTCCTGTCTATCTCCCTCGTCTGACTGTCGCTAGGCTAGATGATACGCTTGCCGAGATCGGAATGATGCGATCCACCAGCAATGCAGCCACCCATCACAGAGTAGACCCGATATAATGTTAAATATTTATTGATCTATGCCCCGTACATTACAATCTACACTTACAGTTAACAATTAAATTATTCATACCCCTTGTAAATTTGATGTTTTTTCTTATTGTTACTTGTTGTTGTTTTTTGTAACTCAAGAATGAAAAGCGGACGGGTTGAATGAGGGCCTTTGTTGAACGCCTTTAGATGTAAGCTTTTATATGGCACATTCTCAAGAAACAAAAATTGGTACAAATGAATTAAAAACATACTTAAACATTACAAAACTTGGTAAGGGTGTGAATGATTGAGTTCTTAAGTCTACATATTTTGATCGGTTTGAACTCACATCCATCAGGGGGGTATTTCTCAAAGCCTTTTTTCAATGACAACTGACAAAAATTAATGACAAATCTGCTGATAACCAATCAGAAACGAGGATTTCAGTAGCTTATAACAAAAACTGTCATTTGTCACTGATGACAAGTTTTGTGAAACGCCCCCTGGTCTACCCTATCAGAAGTATGAGATAACCTTTTAAAGGATAATTATTTCTTTAGGAGCAGTGATGCAACGCTTGCACAGAGCATTACCAACCGAACAATGATCAAGATATAGTGAACTGTTTCTGACTCTAAAAAAAGAAGAATTTAAAGACGATGCTTTTATTGCCTTGCCTAGAATGATAGAAGTCAGTAAATACATACAGGGAAAAGAGAGGCAATTGCTTTTCTTACTTATGTCATAAAGTAAAATTAAATTGTTGCTTTCTAAGAACTGTTTTTCCACTTTAAACAGATTTTGTGTAACTATTCAAGCACAGCAGACAACAAAAGCATGTTATGCATCAACTGGTTTGATGATGGTATTTTGGCACTTACACAAGATGGGTGGGTGTATATACTGTACTTATTACCTAAACATTTGCATGGCTTGGATAAGTGTTACATCATGGTTTGATAGCTAGGTGCCATCAAAAATACTACAGTATTTTTAGGCTACCTGCTTGGAGCATCAAAAGAATGTTAGTAGTATTCATGTCTTCTTTATAAAAGCAGGGTGGTCCCATTCAAGCCGCAAGGCCTGCTTTCCAAGGGAGCCCTGCTGTAACAAACAAATTACATTTCAAATATCTTACAATACACATAAAAATACACAAAATATACAATAAATAAAAAAAAAACGTAATATAAACAAACTATAAAACATTTCATACAAATAGGAAATTAGATGAAAATGGAAGAGGAGAGTAGAGCAATTAACCCACAGAATTGGGCATAGTAGAAAATGAAGATGCATCCTTAATATCCCTTATTTCAGCCAATGGAATTAGGGTATTCTAATGTATGTAATGAAGACATTTCATGCACAAAATGTCTCGTAAATTCTATAGCCTTTCTGTAATGGAAAAACTGCATATATTTTAAATCTAGAGTTCTCAATTTGTTATATAAAAAAGAAAGTAATAAAATACCCATGATTGTCTTAGTAATAAATAATCAGCATTGAGTTTGTGCTATGATACATGTGTTTCATCATCTTTAAACTCTCTATGGTCAATGTCTAACTCTAGTTCAATATCTACCCTGAACCCAACACCTCACCTAACCACAAAACAAGCCTAGAACCCAATCACAACTTAAGCCCTCTCTATCTTTGAAGCCTGGAGCAAACGTCATTGGGGTATATCCTGTGATCACCACGTAGTAATGGCAATGCATCTTTAAAGGGATCGTTTAACAATGTTAAATCTGAGATGCACGGCCCTACATGTTATCAGTGTCTGTGATATGGTGTTATATTGAAGTCCTAAAAGAATTGCGCTTCAAAATGATCCAGAAGTGCCTCAAAAAAGTAAAAGCCTTTGAGTGACTGGTTTTACCATACTCGTTTTCCCCAATAGACAGTTTTATGAAAACCGTTTGGCAAACGCAAAGTTTGATTTCGATTTTCAATCATAAATATCTTGATAATCAGGCAGGTGATCGCCTTGTAAAACTCCTAGGGTTCCTGACTCACCTAAATGGATATAATTATCATTGCAGCATGAGCTAAATCAAGGATTTTTTTAAAGGATCTAAGACAAAGTTACCGGATCCCTTTAAAGCAGGTTTGCATTTTTGCGACTCAGTCGGCATGATACCGTGCCATCATTAGACCTGCAAGTCAAACATGATTGCATACCATTCGTTTGTACTCTGGCATTGGGAAAACAAATACTGCCCCCACGGTCCCGCATTCTGTGCATAATTGGTGTCATGTCTCGTCAGGGGAAGATGAGATGAAAGGAAAAGATGTTGGGTGAAGAGAAACCATCAAGGTTTATATTTCATCCATTCATAAATGTTTACTGGGTGACGCAGGTGTTGAGCGGATGTTATCCATACTCTCATATCTAGTGTCGGACCGGGGGTGCATGGTGTTGTCGAAGATAAAATTGTAGAAAATTCCCAGTCTTGATAGTATGATAGCAAAACACTACAACGCCCATTTATGTTTTTCAAGTTTTATGTTTTTGCTATGTGAACTATGTTTTGAGGGAAAGGCACCGTTTGTTTGCTAACATTAATACTTGCACCAGGAAGTGTTACCCCTTCCTGGACTGATGCATAGAACTAAAATGTTGGTCCTCTCGTATTCAGTCTCCTTTGAAAGTCTGATGTATCCATCATCGGTTGATATGATTGTGAGGAAACAACATTGCGTGCAAGACTATACATGCTCTTCTTATTCATCAAAT